AGCAAATTAAATATTATAATTAACTTGCGAAATTGTCACATTCAACAATATTTTTGTAAAAGGTATTGGAAAAGTTGTTGTCGACAAACTCGACTTCTATTGTATGCCTCCAAGGAGAAATTTTGTGAAACCGATTTTTGTAAATTTGTGTATCTTCTCTTATGCTATTACATTCAGTCATTTGTTCGTGTAAGTTCAAGCTGCTGCATGTCATGGAAATAAATCTACCCTACATATGTCCCGGGCACTTTCTTGTACTGTGGGATGAAAACAACTGTAGTTCAAGTGATAATGCAAAAACATAAGCTCGATAAATCCGAGTAGCTAACAGGATGTTAAGCCAGTGATGAATCAATTATTTCTTGCCAAAATTTATCCCAACATTTTGTTCAGATAAATTTTGACGGGAAATAAACTCCTGCCGGTTTAAAAAATAAGTACCAATAATCAGATTACGGCATTACGATAGGTAACCCAAGAAGAGTTTAAAGAACTGCACGCAGTGATATCCAGAATTTCGTGACAACTTACCGACAGATTAATAAAGGGTAGCAATTTTCACTGATTTCATCGAAAATTTAGTCGAACCTTATATTCTTGTTGCCTTTGCTGACAGAAACGATCTTCACAGCTGGGATTCGGCAGCAACTGATGCCGAGGGAAGAAATCATCCAAAGCATTGTAGCCGAGGCAGTAAGAGACTTCACCAAAATTCAGCAGAAACCTATAAAAATTTGAAACTGGTAAAAAAGCTCACACTGACGAAAAGCTAACGTTTTACTAGATGGAAGGACTATTGAGGCAATGTACTTTAAAGCATTCTGTACTAAGAAGCCCGCAATAACGGCCATTGTTGTTGGCAGCGATGCAGCGCACACTCCCTCGCGTTTCAGAGTTCGTTCGCTGATATTTGAGGCAACAACCAACGGAGGTACACACTGCAAAGGCACACATGTCTCAGTTGGAATATGTAAGTGATTAATGATGACGTAGGCTTCTTTTTTTGTGAGCTTTTTTACCAATTTCAAATTTTTATAGGTTTCTGCTGAATTCTGATAATCGGTGTAGGGATTGCACAATAGTTGCAGCGCTCCTACACCAGGCTTTTTCAGTGTGGCAAAAACAAAAGATTACTTAGTTGTACAACGGTTTAACATTTGTTTCGCGAAAAAGTCCAGATTTAAATGACGCAAACTCAAGAATCTTTACTAACTTTGTGAGGCAGGATGAATAAATTTCAAAAAAAATTCAAAGTAATTTGAGCGTTAAAGTTTTTGATGGTGTTAAAGAAGTGTTACTGCAAAGCAAGCGGTGCGTCCGGGATGGATAAATTGTACATGGCCGGATACGGCATTCTCACTAACACCCGATTCCATCCATATCTGATTTTCCTCATTACAAGCCTGCAAGCATACCCAGAAACAATATAACTAAGCATCACATTCAAAGGAAGAAATGAATCCAAGTCGCTGTATTAATTTTTGAAATATACGGTATCTCTTACCGTGTTAATCGTCATTCTCGCTTCGAAATTATCCACACAGCTCAGAACAAGATCAACTTGATCACCACTAAGACTTCCTCTTCTGTAAGTGCAATGAGTTTATGCATATATGAAATGAGAGAATATTCGAGATGTAAGAATGATAATGTAATTAAGAACATTCTCAGAAGGGACTAAAGAAAAAATAAAAAAATAGGGTAAAATTAGCTCCAAACTGAAAAGTATGCTATAACTGCTATAACTGAATTACTAAATTAATTGAAGCGTGTAAACAGAAGACTAGAGTTGCTTGCACGTGGGAAAGTTCTTTTGAAGCTCCCTAAAGGCTCAATAACAATTCAGGGAATGATAAGCCCACTGATGAACAGAAAGGCGGATACCTTATACGATCGACGAAGACCGGATAGTTGTCCACAGTGGTGATATTCATATTGTAAGTTTCAAATTCTACATCAGGATTGATTGCTCTGAAACAGCGAACCTATCGCATCACCAACGATCACTCTCTGCTGTCACTGAAGAGCTTTCGGTGCTAATGAAATGCTACCAATATAGTCCTGGACTAAACTGAGTCAAGCATCCCAGCCCTGCACTATTGGCTTTAGTTCCGTTTTAAAGATTACATACGTACTCGTTTTCTGCACCACGGAAACTTACCACTGTTTTGCGACATCCCGTGCCAACAAAACAAAGCTGTCCTCCAGTTTTAACTTCATCTAACAGTTCAACGGTTTTAACAGTTTTTATGCGTTTTGTGCTGTGTAACAGCGTTACAAAACGCATATTGTCACAGGGTTGTCTGTGTTTGTGTCCCACATTTTGTCCCGCACTTTCAACTCGGGAACCACAAAAGCTAGGTGGCTGAAATTTTGCTGCAGTGTTCCCCGCCAACGGGTGACGCGGCAAATTTAAATTCAGCCCTCCCGTACCCACGGGTAACACGTACAGCCCCGTGAAAGTTTTTTACGGGTAAATTGTGAGAATTTTGGCAGGTAAATTATTAACTCGGGAATTACGAAAAGATATTCACCCTTCAAGGTTTCGAATTAAGCTTTCATGCGCTGGTGCATGAAACTTTTAATTATTTTCCAATTTTTGAACTATTTTTACATATACAAAAGTACAAAGCAGTAAAAATCATTAATAGACAATCGTTCGAGGGACTGAACTGCACAAAATGCACGACAGCATCGGCTAGTCTGGTGCGTGTTGCTATTTACCAACAATTTTAACAACTTCTTCGACAATTTTAACTTCCTCTCGGAACAGCAACAACACCTCTATGCTGTTCACCCGGCAAGACATCTGAATGCAGGCAGGGTCATATAGAGACATTCAAAGTGACTTTTTTCCCGTTACAATTCGCCTTCGCTCTTCTGTTTTCATCACTGATCATCTGCACGTTGTCGTCTTCAGTATGGCGAATTATCGCGAAATCTCCCGTAGATCCGATCGAAAAAGTCGTGTAATAATTTGAAATAAATAACAGCGTGCACCAGAGTAGCCAGTGCGATCATGCGTTTTGTGCAGTTCTATTCAAGGGGCGTTTGCTGATAGAAATGTTCATTACTTCACTGTTTTTTTTTTTGATTTGTACACCAACATCAGAATCTTTTGTTTCGTCTTCTTTAGCTTCTTTTTGCCCCGTGTGCAAAACGAACGTTGGGAATTTTTAATAACATCGTGATTGTTTGGGAATTTTTGAATGCTCTGAACAAGCAAGCTTTACATGAGTAATTTATTTCTATTGTTGGAACAATCTGTTGTTTAAAACATACAGCACATATGACGATATAACATCACGGCGCATGGTTATACTATAAAAAGTCAATAAGTGTTTACCTATCGATAGACTTTATGGCTTCAATAGACATCTTAACAATAACCAGTTAATAGGAACATCTGCGTAACCAAAAAAAAAAAATCAATTTCTAAAAATAGGCATTAGGGAGATGTAAAGGAAAATTATCTGAAACAACACAATATACCTGGCCGGCCCAGTAATCGTAGTGATTCGATGCAGTAAAGAGCTGAGTTACTGTGTGCAGCCATGCCCTATTACTCATCTTTTAATTAACAGGAGAATGCAACGAGAAACTAAAGCTAAACCATAACGGAAAATTAAAAAAATCTAAGGACACCTATTAACATTACGTCGATTATTTCACTTGTAACTACACATCCACTGCTGTACAAAATAACATCTACGGGAAGTTACCAGTAGGCACACAGCAACCTCAGGAATATAGACTGATAGAGAAACTGATAACGAAGCAATGCATTATCATAGGAAGAAGTATCTAAATACACAAAAAAACGCAAGAGAAAAGTGCGCAATCAAGCAATAATTTTCGGAAGAATTATAAATAGCAACGCGCACCACACTAGCCGGTGCGATCATGCGTCTTGTGCAATTCAGCCCATCGTACGATTGCCTATTAATGATTTTCACTGCTTTGTACTTTAGTTCATGCAAAAACAGTTGAAGCATTGAAAAATATCTCACGCACATGCGCATGAAAGCTGAATTCGAAACACTGAAGGGTGAATATCTTTCCGTGATTCCCGAGTTAATAGTTTACCCTCCAAAATTTTCATGAGGCTGCAGGTGACACCCGAGAGCGCGGAAAAGCTGAATTTGAATAAGCAAGGTTGGGTTTTGCAGACTTTGTGGTTCCCGAGATAATAATATAGCCGTAAAAATTTTCGCTAACCCGTAGGTGATACCCGAGAGAGCGGGAACGTTGAATTTGAGTGGGCAAGGTTGAGCGTGGGCAGGGGATCATTACCCTAAAATTTCAACTTCCTAGTCCTCGTGGTCCCCGAGATAATAATTTACCCGTCAAAAATTTTCGAAGGGCCCCTGCCTACGGGTAACAAGTACGGCCACGTGAAAATTTAAATTTTCTGAGTAGTACATGGGCGGGGGACATGCTCACAAAATTTCAGCCTTCTAGCTTCCGTGGTTCCCGAGACACTGATTTTACCTGAAAAAATTTGACGGGGCCGTACGTGTTAACTGCGAGTACGGAAAGGCTAAATTTAAATTTGCCGCGTCACCCGTTGGCGGGGAACACTACACTAAAATTTTAGCTGCCTATTTCTGTGGTTCCCGAGTTGAAAGTGCGGGACAAAATGTGGGACAAACACACACACAGACAACCCCATGACAATATGCGTTTTGTACTGCTGTCACACAGCACAAAACGCATAACTAGAATGCGGAGAGAGCAACAATGCAGTTGGGCAGCACTGACCGAAAATTCAATAAGTGAGAACGAATTCCAACGCATTCGGACTGCGCGAAGTGAAAATTCACACTGCAGAGCAAAATGCAGCGGAGCAAATAGTTTCCATTAGAGGATTACGGATGAAGGAAATGACACGCGCGGCGAAAAAAGAATTTTAAATTGTACAGGGAAACGATGATGGCACTTCTAAATTTCATAGAAATTGATGGCACGTAATCCATCAAGGCAACATGCGCCACGTGGTCTTCTGTCCGGCGTAATCACTTCGTAAAACCGTCTCAACGCCACTGACATTGACTTTCTCCGCAGGCAATGCCCAAGTTCCCCCAAGAAGTATGATACCATTCGCTGTGAAAACGTTTTTCTTGATCTGATCACTGTACTTGGCGAAACTTTGCACGTTATGGTATATCAGCTGGACGCTGCAGTGTTTTGTTCGGAGAAATTTGGATGTTGAGCTCAAGCAAACATTTCTCTTGACGCCTTAGCTCAATTTGCAGGGGTCACTGGGCTGCGGTTTTCAAGGAAGAATAAAACTGCCAAGATGAAAAGTCCAGAAGGTGACGTTACTCGCGACACCGCAATATAAAGCAAAACGCGAGATGCTCTTGTAGTCGCATGGGTGACGAAAGACGGACATGTCTGCCCTTGATTTTCATGGATTGTCACTGTTTCCGCGTGCACCAAAAGGAACTGCTTATGTAGAACTAGCAGATTTGACGTTTTTTTTTTGCGCTTTACCGTCACAACTGCAGGTTTCAGTGGTATCCAGTCCGGCAAATACTGAAAACGCCTAATGATATTTCATACAGACCCCCTCATTTTGCTAACTACTTCCGGTTCGTCAAAGATAAATCACACACGCAACGGTTCCGGCGAATCATTTTGTCCTCGAGCGATAAACTCATGTCTATCCTGACTAGTCGTTCTCTAGCACCATACTATTTGTTGGACCACTACTTGCATCCAAATTGCAATTCATCACGTATCGCCCGCTAACCTTCAAATGTAGGGAACGCGGTAAGCATAGACACTTTGAAACATACTTAGACACTCAGAAGCATAATACGTTTGGCACCTCCCTCTCCGGTAACAAGATTCGATGCGCCCTGCACTGCTTCAACCCTGGAAGAAGTTTCGTAAACGTGCGGGATCGAAAAATTGTTTCGTCTGCCCCAGTAAGCTGATCTCTCACGAAATTCGTCAACGCTTCCTTGAACTCCTGCTCATTTTGTTGCATCACTGTTTTCAGACCATAAGTTTTGAACAAGTGCCACAAAGGTCTACCAAATATTTCCACATACTGACTCTATGATTTGGTTCCATACATGGGTGCTGCCAATACCGGAGGCAACTAATAGAAACCACCAAGTGCAGTCACACTCCGAAGTCTGCATCATCGAATAAGTGACATAAACGCATGTTCACCATATATAACATGGGCCCCCCCGAACATCGATATCTCTTCAATGATGAGCATCTGCAAATGCTGAAGTCTGGTGTTGGATAAGTCAGCAGAGGGCTCGGTGAGACTGTTAGAATTGACGGGCAGTTGAAAAAGTATATGCAGCGTAACTCTTTTAGTATCGAAAGCTGCTTTTTCAGCTGGAGCAGAAAGAAGAACGGTGGGGAAGTCTGGATTTGGTTTTAGTCGTTGTGAAAAAAATTCGTAGGAAAACCTGGTATGTAGTTCTAAACAGAACACTTTTCCCCACTGCCGCTCCGCCGTGATGAAATGATAAACGGGTCCGTCATTCCGTTTAAAATGTGCAACAATGTGTATCACATAGTCTCTCTGCTCACAGTTCGACGTACTGAGCAACTGCTCAAATTCTGTGCTCGAAACTTGATTTGGCAGTTGGAATCTCTCTGCATATGGGTTGCGCTGATACTCCCCACCGTCGATGTGCAGCATTCCCTGGCCCTCATGGTGACAGCTGTCGAAATCAAATACTGGTGCATTAGGATCGGGCCCTTCGTCAATCTCTCGGACATAAGCATCGTTTTCGGCTTCCTCCATTGCACCTTCAAAAATGGCATTTGGAAATTAGTGATACTGCTGCCCAACCCGCAAGACTGCTTCGCGGTGCCTGTTGAAAAAAGCACCGATAATCTCTTTTTCTCTTTGTTTCTCAATGGAAGGTAGAACATCACTTATTCCGTGTGAAAGTATCCCGGCCCCACGTTTGCACTGTACATTCTATATCGAATGATTTTTGGTCGTGAGTGCTTTCTGATGTAACCTACACCATCCAATAAACATGTGTACTTCCTCCTTGCAGGGGCATCGTGCAGTTTATCACTGCTGTCAAAATTATCAACGTCTAACTCAGTATTTCCGTAGCAGCACGAGGCCTTGTCCTTGAGAAGCCGTACTACACTGCAAAATCCGTGAGCGTGATGTTTTTGATTTCGACTGGACGTTTCGTACAGTGCTCTAGGAAACCATGTGTGAAGCAATCGCTAAAAGCGGGGTTCAAAGTGCGTAGCTCGTCATGCGTCTTTAGAATTCGTACACGTTCATCCGACAAGGGCGTCTGTATGAAGATTACCCGCCCAGTACAGCATGACATTGGTAGATGCAAAATGTTGTACGTTGTTTCCTGCACTAAAAAGTCACTAAAACTATAATGGACAGCAGAAATACTATACACTGCTTCAAGTCAACTGCTGTTTCCTTTTCGCAGTCCTTGTTGTATCTGGGGCTGTGACTAAGGGGGCAAGCTCGTACAATTTCAGCTTCGCAACTTACCCGGTTATTCGGCTGAATCACTTTGCATTTTTGGCTTCCACCTCTTCAAGCGCGTAGCGTAAGAAAAATTGAAACCTGATTTTGGCGTGAATAAACAAGCTGAGCCGCGGATCTGCTAAGAATTCGTAGGGTTCTGTTTGCTGAATTGTAAGAACAATGATAATTTCACACTTTCTATGCATACTTTTCCGTACGCGGCAAACAGATAAATAAATCAATTTTAGGCTTCACGACATGCACATAAGACAATTTTATGTTTCACGACAACATATAACTGGAGACCGTATACGCAAGAAATCATAATTCTAATTAGTTTTGTTATATATGAAGAACTTTCTATTTTAGAACATTTTCTTCTCAGACAATAATTTTTCCTCCAAAGCTTTCATGAGGCCGGTCACCCAGCCGTATGGGTAAGCCGGAATAAAATTTTACGGGGTCACATACAGGAGGAGACATTGCACCAATTTCTCGACTTCCTAACTTCTGTGGCCCCTGAAATAATAATTTTTCCCGCCAAAACTTCCATCGGTCATGCGTGGTACTTACGCGTAGGGAAGAACTGAAAATAAACTTACTAAATCACACGTTAGCAGGAAATATTCTTGTGAAATTTAAGCTTTCCAACTTCCCTGATTCCCGAGACACCAATCTCCCCGGCAAAAATTTCGCGGGGCCGTACGCGATATCCAGACAAACGGGAAGGCTGAGTTTGAGCTTCCGGTGTCGTACGTAAGCAAGGAGACATCTCCTAAAACTTTATTCCTCTAGCTTTTGTGGCTCCCTAGATAGTAATTTTCTCCGCCAGAACCAGACGAATGGGAAGATTGGAATTTAAATTTGCGGTGTCACGAATGGCCAGGGGACATAC